CCAAACCCCCCCCCCCCCCCCCCGCCACGGGCCCTGCTCTGTGTGTGACAGGGTAGAGCCATAACCTCCCCATCGGCCCTGCCCTGAGTGTGACAGGGTGCAGCGCCCCAACCCCTTGATCCGCCCTGCTCTGTGTGTGACAGGGGTGGCGCCGCAACCTCCCCATCGACCCTGCCTTGAGTGTGACAGGGGGCGGTGCCCCAACCCCCCAATCGGCTGTACCCTGAGCGTGACTAGGGGTGGCATCGCAACCTCCCGATCCGCCCTGCTCTGTGCATGACGGGGCGGCACCCCAACTCCCCAATCGGCCCTGCTCTGAGCCTAACCAGGGGTTGCACTTAGGGATTGGGCATGCCCTCTGCCACCCGGGAGCAGGCCTAAGCCAGCAGGTCGTTATCTCCCGAGGGGTCCCAGACTGCGAGAGGGCACAGGCCGGGCTGGGGACCCCCCCCCCCCAGTGCACAAATTTTTGTGCACCGGGCCTCTAGTCCTATTATAAAATTCTTCTTAAAGGACAATCTTTAAAATTGGATTATTTCCTGAACCGATGCAGAAAGCAAGATAAGCAATGGCCTTTGGAATTTACAGTTTATATAGTGAGTCCCATGCAATGGTTGGCAACACTAAGTCCCAGGACAAGGAAATGTGTGAACATAGAAGCAGGTTTTGCAGGCTACATTTTTCTCCTTTATTTGGGCCATCATGTGGAAGACAGATTATTTTCCAAAACTATTAAGTACTTTCATCAACTAGCCAGCTAGAGCATCCGTCCTGAAGGAAAAATGTAATAGGCTCTTCTTCTGTTAGTGCCAGCTGTCCAAAACAGTTAGAGTTAGTCAACGCTGTTTAATGTTACAATCAAATCTGGACATGAGTGGGAAAGTCACTGTACCAAACCCATTAAGCTGCATTACTAAATGTCCAATGTTACATAAAAACTATAAATAACTTTGTACTGTTAGGGTTTTTTTTTCCAATTTGCTTTTCTTGAAGCAATAATGATGTTCTGCTTCAGTTAAAGTAATTTTGAGGCTGCCTTAGTGTTTAATCCAGATACTCTTTCGGTGTGGAATAAAATTGCAAGCAATAATCAAGTCAGAATTAAAAGCATTCCTTGGAGTATCTGTTGTTAACAATGTTAAAAATGAAGAGAAGAGCACCAAAAGATAGTAAAGGCTAAAAAATTAAACACAAGGCTTAATCATTTTATAAGTGGACTTTCCTTTGGGAAATAAAATGCCGTTTCTGTAAAGGGTATCTAGTCTTTTTTCTAATATATGCAAAGGAATTCATGCTCTCGTTCAAGGAACATCAATCACTTACTACTTAACAATAACAAGCCAGCAGCTAACACTGAACAAACATGTCTACCTCAATGTTCAAAACCTGACCAGTGAATTAAGAAGGGTTTGTTTCCACACACTAAAACCCAGCCTTGACTCTCCTAGAGTGTGGCTGATCTAACAGCTGAGCTAAAGGCACAAAGGAGGGGGCTGGTGGTTGATATCTGCCCAACTAGGAGGCTCCAGTAAGCTGAAGACCAGATCAAACCACTTAGTAACATAGAAATGCTTTGTTTCTTAAAACTTGTTAGAAGTTTCCTTCTACACTTACCTGGTAAATGATTCTTGGGATAGCTTCTATAATTACCAATAATCTCCATGCTAGTAAGTTTCTCTGATTACCAAGAAAGAAACTTTCAAACAAAAATACAAGCAGGACACATTTGGGAACAAAGATGCAAAGGTATAATCAACGGGTGTATATTTTGAGCAGGAGTAGAAACAATTTTTTTCTACATTAATCCCCCCCCCCCCCGCCACTCCTTAAGATAGCTAAAAAGAACTAATTAACCTCCGATGGACATGCTAACAATTTCATATTTGAGTGTCCAAACCTAAAGGAAAAACATTTTGAAATGTATCTGAAAGTTGAAATGAAACAAATGGTGGCATATAAATTTAATATCTTTATTTAAGCAAAAATCAAAGGAATCTTCAAATACCTTGTCTAGATGAAGCAGAGACTAGAATTTCACTTGGAATCCTGTGCTAACTTTTTAGCACATGATAACATCTGTATTCTGTGACATTTTTTATATTTAAAATAACAGTTCCCAAGACCTAAGTACTATTTTAGATTTTTGATGAAAATAAGTGATAATCCTTAAACTTAATACATACTATAACTGTTACTTAAAAAATAAATTTTGACACAACTATATTAATTTTTAAATAAATAGCCATGATATGTACACCAAGTTTTATTGCCTTTAAGTAATACGAATGTTATTCAAAATATTAAATTTTCTTGAATTTGACAGAAGAAAAAGAAACTGAAGTGAAACTGTAGGAATTGCTGAACTTCAGATAAATGTTTCTTCAAAACAAGAGATATTAGTTCCTAAAAGATTCTTCTAAAGTTAAAAACAGATTAAGAAAAACATTAAGCCATTGGGTTACTACATTTAAAAAAAACTACATGTTTCTTAATGGACATATGTTTACATTTACATATAGTAAACTTCATCTCCCATCTCATAAAACTCAGAAGACTCCCCTGATGTCTAAACTAAGCAAAAATAAAAGCCTTTTTTTCATATTAAAAACTTTAAAACCTAAATCTGTTGTTGTCTTAACATTATTTTCCAAAAAAGCTTAATAGGGAATGGCTAATCTGAAAGCAAAATGTTGCACAAACCACTTTCAAGAAAAGAAATACACCACGGGAGTATGCTTATAGAAGTCGTGTCAGCTAAAACCCCGAGTGTCGACACATGAATTCAGAGTATCAGCCGGTCCTCTCCTCCCTCCTGAATTACCTGACCGATGGAAGTTTGGTTTTGTTGTTTCAGAAAACATTGTTTCTTACATTCCATCAATTGTTCAAAATCACGCCACATTTTCACTTGTTTCATATTTGGACCGTGACTTTCTCGTACAGCTTTTTGTTTCTCCCGAAGTTTCTATTGTAAAAAAAAAAAAATCAAGAATAATTAAGTCTCAGTTACAGGGATTTACTTCTATTGCCATAATCAGAAGAATATGCTACGCCTTGTACAATCTATAATAATAAAAGCATATTATGCTAAATAGACCAGACGTCCTTCCAGACGACCTTCTGGATGAAGCCAGGGCTGGAGGGAAGCCTGGGTCCTGGGTGCCAGAGGGAAGCTGGGAGAAGGAAGGCCTACTCTTGCACGAATTTCGTGCATCGGGCCTCTAGTTCATGAATAATAGTCAACTGAATCAGGTTCTTCTATGAAGTATGAAAACTAAGGATATACAAGTTAAATAAAGTTACCATTGACGTATGACAACCTGCAGTTAAAGAAACCAACACAAAAACATAAAAGAAAGTGGGGGCGGGGGGAATAAAGGCAGTCAGAAAACTGGAACTGAAAGAACGACGCAGATTTGGGAGTTGGAAGACTTGAGTTTCAGCCTTGGCTTTGCCATAAGCTCTTAGTAAGGCACTGAATGCCTATAAACTCCTGTTTTCTAAATGGTCAGTTAAGGCCAATAAGAGGGGATACTTATGAAAGTACTAGAGGCTCGGTGCATGAATTTGTGCACGGGTGGGGTCCAGTCGGCCTACTGGCCGGGGGGAGGAACCACGAGCGGTTGGCCAGCTGGCCCTGCCCCCTGGTCGAACTCCTGGTCAAGGGGACAATTTGCATATTAGCCTTTTATTAGATAGGATTTACTTTATAAGGTTTTTTTCATATGATGTAATAGGTATAAAAAATACATGATAAACTATCATGTGTTATGTTATTATTAAATAGTGTATTTTTTCCTGACTCAGTATATGCTCTATGTATGCATATATTTCTAAAGGAGAATGTTTAGTGATTTTTTTAAAAAAGTACACTATTAAATTGGCCCAAATCCTTATTAGAATTATCTTTGTTACTAATAACTGATATGGTTCCACCTACTAAAACTTCTACTCACTGACTCTAAAATTATAAACGGGAATAAGAACATTTTTCAGTAAATTGCAAAAATGTACTTTGGGTCTATATTGTGACCAATTGAGGAAGAATGACTGAAAGGAGGGGTAGCACAGAGTCAGAGACGAAGACAGGCAAGAAAGGAAGGAGAGCAGAGGAAACAGAGCAGATGACAGCGAGCATAAGGGAACATGACAGAAATACACTCACACCGAGCATGGGAAATCATCAAGAAAAACAGAAAAGCAAGCAAAGACACAGACTACACAGAGGCATCCCCATCTTTCCCTCTTTTAGGATATAACTGAGCTACTGGTTGATCTAAGGACACCAATGAGAAGACTGGTAGTTGATATTTGCCCAAATAAGAGGCTAAACTAAGCTGAGGACCAGATTCAAACCACTTACTAAAAACTGCCCTCTCAGCTATGGCTAATGAAAGCAAAGGTAATAGCAATCAGCAATAGGAAACAAAACAGAATTAAGAAAATATAATTTAAATATAGCCAGCAAATTTTTGACACAATACCTGGCATGCAAATACACGTATTTAAGTCTATGTTACAAAGAAAGTATCTTACAAAAAATATTTTTATCCTCATAAACTAAAACAAAGAGATCAAGAATTTTAAAAGTTCTGAGCATGATTTTAAGATTAAGTTGCTACTTAAACTGTAACTTTTCTTATATTGTTGGAATAATTTCCTTGTCAAAATCCTAACAATCTATAAAAGTTATTTAAAGAACCAAAGACAGGATGTGGGTACTGTATCAGAAATATTAAGTTTAATTTGCCTCACACCCACATGTATTTGAAACCTTTAACTTATGAATGCAACTGACTTTCATATATAATTATTTTTTGGTTACTCCTCACCCGAGGATATTTTTTCCATTGATTTCTAGAGAGTGGAAGAGAGGGAGAGTGAGAGGGAGGGAAGAAAGAGGGAGGGAGGGAGGGAGAAGGAGAGGGAGGGAGGGAGGGGGAGAGGGAGGGAGAGGGAGAGGGAGGGAGGGAGGGAGGGAAAGAGAGAGAGAGAGAGAGAGAGAGAGAGAGAGAGAGAGAGAGAGAGACACTGATATGAGAGAGACACATTGATTGGTTGCCTTCCACACATTCCTGACCGGGGATTGAACCCACAACCTGGGTATGTGCCCTGACCAGGTAATGAACCCACAACCTTTCAGTCTACAGATAATGCTCTAAGCAACTGAGCCACACTAGCCAGGGCTGTGCCTTCACTTTTATAAAACTAAATTCCCAAGGAAGTATCTATATCTTTAAAAAGGCTTAAGAAGGATCCTATTTCCCTTTGAAAACTGTACGAAAGCCCTGGCTGGTTTGGCTCAGTGTATGGAGCTTCGGCCTGCGAACTGAGGGGTCCCTGGTTCGAGTCCGGTCAAAGGCATGTGCCTCGGTTGTGGGTTGGGTCCTCGGCCCTGGCCAGGGCTTGTGCGGGAGACGACCAAATTAATATGTGTCTATCACACTGATGTGTCTCTCCCCCTTCCTCCCACTCTCTCTAGAAATCAATGGAAGAATATCCTCCAGTGAGGATGAACAAAAGGAAAACTACTAAATCTTTTAAAAATTAATGACAATGTCATAACCATGTATTGAAAAACTGAATTAGACATATTAAAAAAAAATAGCCCAACTGATTTGGCTCAGTGGATAGAGCGTCGACGGACTGAAGGGTCCTGGTTTTATTCTGGTCAAGGGCATATACCCGGGTTACAGGCTCGATCCCCAGTGTAGGGCATGCAAGAGGTAGCTGATGAATGATTCTCTCTTATCACTGATGTTTCTATTGCGCTCTCTCTCCCTTCCTCTCTGAAATCAATAAAAATATATTAAAAGTAAATAAGTAACTAAAATAAATTTAAAATTCTTACCTTTCCAAGATTTTCTTGTTCAGCAATATTTTTGGTATACTGTTCCCTAGAGAGTCAACATAATAATTTAACTTCAATTGATTTGAACATAAAACATTAACGTATCTACCTAAATATATTAAACAAGGAAATTTAGAGTACTGGAGTCAGAAGAAACCCCATTATCAAATATTTTCTTTCCTCATCCTTAGTCAGTTTTTAGAAGTACACTAGAGTAAACAATAATTTAAGGGGAAAAAAGACAAAACATCGCATAAAATTAAGAGAATTAAAATGTTAAGTACTATTTCTTATTAATCTACCCTTAAAACAATGGCAAGCCATTTGCTTAAATTACTTTGTTTTTGAGGAGGTTTGCAAAAGGGAGAAATGATATATATTAAAATAAACACTAGATAGCATCTAACTCTGAAATTCCAGTTCTAGGAAGTCATGCTACAAAAAAACTCTCATAAAATAAAGATAAAAACAAAAACCATTTTCTTCACCACTGTTTATAACAGTGAATATCTGCAAACAAACTAAAGCTGATAGATGGGGAAATGTTTAAATAAATTATAGTACTCTGTTTAAAGGAATAATAGAGAGCTATAAAAAAGAATGAGGTAGCTCTATAAATACCAAAGTGGAAAGAATTCTAGATAAACTATTAAGAGAAAAACTGTATGTGTACTTTAATTTTATTTTTGTATACACATAAAAAAATTTCCCATGCACTTGCTAGCATGCGCGCGCACACACACACACACACACACACACATTAGCAAATGCATGGGAAAAGAACATGGAATAATGTACATCAAAATATTAACATTAGACATTTCTGAGGCATGGCAATGTGGACAACATTCCATTTTTGTGTACTATATTTCATAATGGTTACTTTTTGTATTTCTTTTGTAATCTAACAAAAACTGCAAAATTTTAATGTAAAAATACAAATAACTTTGTATTTTATTGATTTTCTTTTACAGCGAGGAAGGGAGAGGGATAGAGAGTTAGAAACAACGATGGGAGAGAAACATCGATCAGCTGCCTCCTGCACACCCCCTATTGGGGATGTGCCCGCAACCAAGGTACATGCCCTTGACTGGAATCGAACCTGGGACCCTTCAGTCCAAAGGCCGACGCTCAATCCACTGAGCAAAACTGGTCAGGGCTGTATTACATTTTTTAGCAAAAGTATAATTATATCTTAACACTACATAAGACAAAAAGTGAGATTTAAACTATTAAGGACAAAGATTAAAGGATGAAGAGAGACTTTAGACCTCAAATTTGGATGGAAAAAATACTAGGTTTCTGTGTAAACTACACTATAGTAGGTATTTACAAAGAAATTAGACAACACAAAACTGAAAATCTAAGAAATCACATCACAAGAGAAACCCTAGCAGTCTAAGTGAAGGAAGATTTGCATTTCTGCAAAAAGGGAGGTGAATGTGATTAGAATAGAAACAATGTCAGTCAAAAGTACCCCATGTGCTTATAGAGCTGAAGTGAAGGTAGAATTTGGGCACAGAAGTGAGGGGATAAACACAATCTTGATGGACCTTCATTTTGCTCTTAGAATTTATGAGACACTACGTCAAACTGTTTGCCTTTCCAGCTCTCCAGTGAAAAAATAACCAGGAAGATGTAAATGACATACTAGCTTAAGAAGAATACATGGTTATAGTTCAAATTGCTTTAAATATTTCATTTATTACCCTAGGCCTAAGAAATGTCCACATTGTTTTAGAATTTCCATTGATATTTTATCAAGAAATCAACAGGCTCGCCCTCGCTAATTTGGTTCAGTGGATAGAGCATTGACCTGTGTGGACTGGGGCTCCCAGGTTTGATTCCGGTCAAGGGCACATGCCCAGGTTGCGGGCTCGATCCCCAGTGGGGAGTGTGTAGGAGGCAGCCGAACAATGATTTTCTCTCATAATTGATGTTTCTATCTCTCTCTCTCTCTTCCTTCCTCTCTGAAATATATATATATATATATATATATTTTTTTTTTTTTTTAAATCAACAGGCTCATACTCTTTTCCCATGACATTAATCCATAATTTTAATTTAATTAAGAGATAATTACGAAGCACCTGTTATGTACCAAGCATGCCCTGGGGCTTCAAGAAGCAAACAGGCCAGGTAGGTGTGGCTCAGTGGTTGAGTATCTGTGGGGAATCATAGGACTTGGTTGGAAAGTCTGTAAGGAGGAGTCTCCAAGAGTCAGGGGGCCTCTTGGTGGACCTTGCCAAAGGTGGCAGCCCCTGCCTTGACTTTTACAAACAAGTCTGAGCCCCCAGGTGTTTTATTGGAATCTTTATGTTTAGTCTTTAGAAGTCCTTGCTTAAAGGACACTATAGATGCATGTGTCTTCTCAAGGATGCTTATCCTACTGATAGTGTCTGATAGTTAGTTTTAGATCAAGCTATTGTTACAATAAAGGCCTAAGGAGGCAGGCGAATGGGGCTGTTTGGTTTCTCAAGCCAAGCAGTCCCTTAGCCCTCTGTTTCACAGAAATGTGTGTCAGAGTAATCATTCACCCATCACTCACAGTCTGCTGGTCAGCCCCAGCAAGTGTCGACCTATGAACCAGGAGGTCAGGGTTCGATTCCTGGTCATGGCACATACCCAGGTTGCAGGCTCAATCCCCAGTAGGGGGCGTGCAGGAGGCAGCTGATCGATGTGTTTTTATCATCAATGTTTCTATCTCTCTCCCTCTCCCTTCTTCTTTCTCTAAAAAAACCCAATAAAAACATATTTAAAAAAAAGAAGCAAATAGGACAGATAGTGGTCCTTATGCTGCAAGAACTCATACTATGCTATTTCCAAGCACTGCTGCACACACATTCAACTTGATCTTCTGTGGTATACATTGTTTACCTTATCTTACATAATGAGGAAGTGATGTGCTCAAGGTAACAAAACTAGGGACTGGGGAAATTAGGTTAGAAACCAATTTTATAGTTCCTCTCTAGTACTTTGAAATAAAACATGCTATCTCTTTAAATAAATTCAAATTCGCAATCTTTCAAAACCAAAAAGTACCACAAAAGTAGAAAATGAAATAAAAATATTTTGTCTATAATAGTAATAATATTTTAAACATGTATCAGTGAGTTTAAGAGTATAGTAACTCTATTAAATTAATAATATTCTTATAATGTATGACTCTAGTCAGGGTCTAATATTTTTCTATAGGGAAACTAAAGAATGATAAAGGTTATAATAATTTTTAAAATGATGATGAGGAGGAAAAAACCAAGATGGCAGCATAGGTAAACACCTGAAATTGCTGCCTCGCACAACCACTTCAAAAATACAACGAGCCCTAACCAGTTTGGCTCAGTGGATAGAGCGTTGGCCTGCGGACTCAAGGGTCCCAGGTTCAATTCCAGTCAAGGGCATGTACCTTGGTTGCAGGCACATACCCAGTGGGGAGTGTGCAGGAGGCAGCTGATCGATGTTTCTCTCTCATCGAAGTTTCTAACTCTCTATTCCTCTCTTCCTCTCTGTAAAAAAAAATCAATAAAATATATTAAAAAAAAATACAACGAAAAGACAAAACGGACATCATCCAGAACCACAGGAAGGCTGGCTGAGTGGAAATTCTACAACTAGAAGGAAAGAGAAAAGCACACTGAGACTCAGAGGAGGTGCAGAAGTAAAGTGCAGAGGTACAGAGGTGCACGTGGAAAGGGCTGGCAACTGAGGACATGGTTGTCTTTTTCAATCGGGAGGGAGACACAAGCTCCCAACTGCTCTGAACTCCAGTTCCGGGCAAGACTCTGGGGACCCAGACTCATATGGGGAGAAACTGGACTGTCTGGCATCGGGCAGAACTCGAGGGCGGCTTTCTCTCAGAGGTGCTTGCAGAGATTACCGCGGGACACTAAGACCCGGGGCCTCTTAGGGCAGGGCTGAGGATCAGCCATAGCTGTTTGCTCCGCCCTGTTGATTCCCTGAGACCCCGCCCCACCCAAGCTGTGCGCAGAGGCTTTTGCATATGAATGGCCTGGCCCTTTGCAATCTAAAATTACCTAACAAACTGCAGCTGGTTCAGAGAGACCCAGAACATCCAAAAGAAGGCCCAAGGCCCCACAGCAGCTTGCATTGCTTCACAGCTGGGCCTCATCTGGGCACCTCCAAACCCCAAACAAAGAAGAGGAATCTGAAGATCTCTCTGTAGCTCTTGCTGGCAGAGGCTAAATTAGCACCTCCTTAGATCCAAGAGCCAGTGTACCCAGTGGTCAGAGTGGGACCATCCAGATTACAATTCCTCAGATCCATAAGGGACACACTCAGGGGGCAGACTCAGTGAGCACCAAAGCTCCACTGAAGCAAGTCTTGCCCCATAAGGGTGTCTCCAGCACAGAAGTTCTCCCATTGCAGACACAGCTGATTCTCACAGTCAATTGGCCTGGAGGTCAATTCCTCCCAGTGATACCTACAACAATCAAGGCTTAACTACAACAAGACTGTGCACAAAGCACACAAAGGGGTACGCCAAGAGTGTCCACCTCAGGTAATTGGGGAGGCTGAGCCACTGGGCCCTATAGGACACCTAGCACAGAAAGCCACTCTATCAACACAAGGAAGCAGCCAAAATGCGGAGACAAAAAAACAGTTCACAAATGACAGAAGTGGAGGAAAGCAAACTACTGGATATAGAGTTCAAAACCACAGTTATAAGGTTTTTCAAGAATTTTCTAGAAACCGCCAATAAATCTAGTGAGACCCTTGATGTTGTGATAAAGGACCAACTAGAAATTAAGCATACACTGACTGAAATAAAGAATATTATACAGAGATCCAAAAGCAGACTAGAGGATCGCAAGAATCAAGTCAAAGATTTGAAATACGAAGAAGCAAAAAACACACAACCAGAAAAGCAAAAAGAAAAAAGAATCCAAAAATATGAAGATAGTGTAAGGAGCCTCTGGGACAACTTCAAGCGAACCAACATCCGAATTATGGGGGTGCCAGAAGAAGAGAGAGAGCAAGATATTGAAAGCCTATTTGAAGAAATAATGACAGAAAACTTCCCCCACCTGGTGAAAGAAATAGACTTACAAGTCCAGGAAGCGCAGAGAACCCCAAACAAAAGGAATCCAAAGAGGACCACACCAAGACACATCATAATTAAAATGCCAAGAGCAAAAGACAAAAAGAGAATCTTAAAAGCAGCAAGAGAAAAACAGTCAGTTACCTACAAGGGAGTACCCATAAGATTGTCAGCTGATTTCTTTTTTTTTTTTTTTTAAATATATTTTATTGATTTTTTACAGAGAGGAAGGGAGAGAGATAGAGAGCTAGAAACATCGATGAGAGAGAAACATCGATCAGCTGCCTCCTGCACATCTCCCACTGGGGATGTGCCCACAACCCAGGTACATGCCCTTGACCAGAATCGAACCCGGGACCCCTCAGTCCGCAGGCCGACGCCCTATCCACTGAGCCAAACCGGCCTAGGCGTCAGCTGATTTCTCAACAGAAACTTTGCAGGCCAGAAGGGACTGGCAAGAAATATTCAAAGTGATGAATAGCAAGAACCTACAATCAAGATTACTTTACCCAGCAGAGCTATCATTCAGAATTGAAGGTCAGATAAAGAGCTTCACAGATAAGAAAAAGCTAAAGGAGTTCATCACCACCAAACCAGTATTATATGAAATGCTGAAAGGTATTCTTTAAGAAGAGGAAGAAGAAGAAAAAGGTAAAGATAAAAATTATGAACAACAAATACATATCTATCAACAAGTGAATCTAAAAATTAAGTGAATAAATAATCTGATGAACAGTATGAACTGGTGAGTGTAATAGAAACAGGGACATAGAAAGGGAATGGACTGACTATTCTTGCGGGGGGAAGGGGTGTGGGGGGTGCGGGAAGAGACTGGACAAAAATCGTACACCTATGGATGAGGACAGTGTGGGGGGGTAAGGGCAGAGGGTGGGGTGGGAACCGGGTGGAGGGGAGCTATGGGGGGGAAAAAGAGGAACAACTGGAATAATCTGAACAATAAACATTTAATTAAAAAAATGATGATGAGGAATATCTGGTTAGAAAACTGATCAGAAAACCAATAGTTCAGTATCAATATTTCCTTCTGTATTACTTATATTGGTAATTTTGAAAGAAATAGAACTTAATTTCTAACATTTTATTTTTCAAGAACAAAATTAAGTTCTCACATTTTTGAAATATTAGCATTGACCACATAGATTTATTTGAGCTAAGTTTATATTCAATGAAAGAATCTGAATAAGTACATTTAATGTGTTTAGTATGTTATAGTATTAGAAAAACATTCTATTTATAGGATATCTTCAGTCTGGCTTGCATTCCAGTGCATTATATATAAAAAAATTTAGACTCTGCCAAGACGTTCCCAGTTTTAGATTCCTTCCTGTAACATTAATGTACATGCCACTAGAAATCTCAACTGCAATCTAGAATAAATATGAATCCTACATTTTGAGTTCTTACAGGATGATAAAAGCAAAACATCTGAAGTGTGCTAGGGGGAAAGAAAGTGTATCTTGTTCAATTACTGTATTCTATCCCAGCTAGCAATTCAACTCTAAATGTATTTGTAAGGCAGCATTTGATTTATTACAGTTTGCTGCAAGCTATGATGACCAAAAGAATCACCATATAAGGGCTAGTGGTATTGGCACCGCTTCCTTGTTCTGAAGGCGGGCACACTGCAGTCACATAGTTTCTAGCTGAAACACAGTCACTCACACTGTACAATTAGCAGGCAGATGACTAGAGTCCAAGCCACAGGGGACTTTAAAAACAGACAAACCTTAGTGCTTACTAAAAAAAAAAAAAACACAAAAAAACTATCAAATTATATGTATTTCTCACAAGGGAGAATTATTAATGGGGAATTATTAATGATTACAAGAGTTTCTGTCTATGGTGATGGAAGTTTTGGTAATATATAGTTGTGATGGTTGCACAACAATGTGAATGTAATCAATGCACTGAATTGTACACCTAAAATGGTTACAATGGCAAATTTTATCGTATATATCTTTTGTGACAAAAAAAATAAGCAAGCAAGAAAGGAAATTATACATATTCCTATTTACTTAACAGGGCTAGACTATCCAAAAGATGTTTAACAAGAAATAAACCTTAATAATATCTTAGTATCTACTTATTTAAGTACTCCAAATTTCATAACTTCATTTTACAGTCAAACCTCGTTTCTCGAATGTCTCCCATCATGAACAATTCAGTTCTCAACCAAGTTGTTCACAGGGAAAAAATGTCTCAGTTGTGGACTAAAACTTCAGCTTTTGACCTGACAACCTTTTCATGCTATACCTCAGCATGACAAAAAGCTGAGGTATAGCATGAAGGCAATAAACATAGAATAGCATGCTTTTTATTTATTTATTTATTTTATTTATTTATTTTTTAAATATATTTTATTGATTTTTTACAGAGAGGAAGGGAAGAGATAGAGAGTTAGAAACATTGATCAGCTGCCTCCTGCACACTCCCCACTGGGTATGTGCCCGCAACCAAGGTACATGCCCTTGACCGGAATCGAACTGGGACCCTTCAGTCCAAAGGCAGATGTTCTATCCACTGAGCCAAACCAGTTAGGGCAGGATAGAATGCTTTTGTTGCTGGCAGAAATCCACGATTAGCACAATTTTAAAATACAAAGCGGCTGTCAAGAGTGCTAACGTTGCTAAGGGTGTGAAAGTGCTCACAAAACAACAATCACAGGAAATGAATAGGTAGAAAACCTGTTGTTAATTGGATCAAGGAAAAGCAGTTAGCAGGTGATAGATAGCATTTGGGAGGCAGTGATATATGAAAAATTCTTTTAAGGCTAGTAGGGGTTGGTTTCATAAATTTAAGAAGAGAAGTGTTTGTTTATAGATTAAATAGTACATTAGACAGGTACTGTATAAAAGAAAAGTTAAAACAGGGAATAATGTGGGGGTCTGGAATGGATAAATTCAATTTACATTATTTCTAATGGGGGAAAATGATTCGGCTTTCAAACAAATCGTTTCTCGAACAGCCTTCCAGAACAAATTAAGTTCAAGAACCAAGGTTCCACTATATTTATAAAACTTCTATAGGTGGCCCTAACCGGTTTGGCTCAGTGGATAGAGCGTCGGCCTGCGGACTGAGGGGTCCCAGGTTTGATTCCGGTCAAGGGCATGTACCTTGGTTGCGGGCACATACCCAGTGGGGAGTGTGCAGGAGGCAGCTGAATCGATGTTTCTCTCTCATCGATGTTTCTAGCTCTCTATCCCTCTTTCTTCCCTCTCCCTTCTTCTCTGTAAAAAATCAATAAAATATATTTTTAAAAAACAAAACAAAAAAAAACACTTCTATAGGTGAAACATTAAGTAACTCAGTATAAAAAACAACAAAATTACTTGCCTAATTGCCTTTCTTTTTTCTTGTTGGTCAGAAGAGACATATGCCTTCATCTCATCAACAGCGCGATGAAGTTGTACTTCCAGGTTCTAAGTGGAAAGACTAAGTTTTAGGTTAAGTTCTTGATACAGAAAAATCTCAGGAAAGTTTGTGATTCCCTTTCTTTGTCTCACCTTAATCATACAATTTGTATAATGGTATTTACTTTCTTCTTGAAGACATTCTTCACGGAGTCCTCTGACTTCCTACAACAAACACATCATTTTAAATGGGCACCATACTGAAAGCATAGTCGGATGCAGAGAGGATGACTGAATGCACAACAAAAGAAATGCCATCAGTCACTTCCTCTTCTGCAACTGTAACTCTGTTTACTGTAACAGACAAGGCTGCAATCTTTTCTAGAGACGACTCATAGGACCCTAACATTGCACGTTCAGTTATTCATTTATTACATACCTACTGTGTGCCCAGCTCTGTGTCAGGTGCTGGGACACAGCAGTGAACAGACAAATAAGTCCCTGCTCTCATTGAAGAAGAAGAAACAGACATAACAAGGAGACACATAATGAAGGTCATTTTTGATGGGGATTAATACGATGAAGAAAATTCAGCAGAACGTGACAGGGTGACTGAGCAGGCAAAATTAGATAGGGTGATCAGGGGAGATCTCTAGGAGGAGGTGATATTTAGGTGAGACTGGGATGATGAAAAAGAGATCAAAGCAAAGAGATGGGGGTGGAGGGATCCAGAGAGAGAAGAGTGCATGCAGAAGCCGGGCTGAAAACAAGGTTGGCCTGTTTGCAGAACAAGTAGACTGCCGGTGTGGCTGGATCCCCTCGGAGGAGGAGCAGAGCACAAGGATGTGGAGTTCCCGAGGCAGGTGGGGCCTGGGAGACCTAAGTTTGAAAGTTGGGTTTTAAGTGGAAGACACTGGAGGGTGGCCTAAGTTTTACTCTGGTCTCTTTGGCTGCTCTCTGGAGAACAAACCATAGGAAGGCAGGAGTGGAAGTGGGAGAGCAGGCGCTGGGTTACTGGGGCATCTAGGAAGACAGGATGGGGGCCTGGATGTGGTGGTAGCGGTGCACATGCTGAGTCTGAAGAAATAAAGATCTCTGGAACCAGGAGACAGACTCAGGGGATGAGGGAAAATATACAGGAATCTTTGGCACTGGTATAGTGAAAATATGCACACAGACAGTGTTTGCTAAATTCTTCAACTGAAAACTGTCTTCTTACCTGTTCCAATTTGGACCGATTGCTTTCGAGGCCTGCTGCACAGCTATCATACTGGGATTTCTTTTCATCACACTCCTGGGTTAGTTCCTAGTGTTAAAAGGGTAAATGACTGAGCAAGTAAAAATCAAAGGCCTGAAATGTGGCTCTGACACAATGCATGCCCTTGTTAGTCTCGTAACTGAACTCTAAGCTTCTTGGCATACTTAAGGGTTATTTATACAACAATTAGACATTTGAGAATTATGACAGATGGAGGTGCTGATAAACACAATAGCTACCATGTACTGAGCTGAGTGCCAGGCTTTGTTAGGAGCTAGGGACACAACAGTGAACAAAACAGCCAAAAAACCTTCCCCTCAAGTAAAGTTTCGACAAGTAAACAGGCTGTTGAGTGCTATGATGGGCAAATGCAAGATGTCATAGGTGACCTGGGACTCTCAGTAGATCTAATCCAGGCTTGGGAATCAGTGGGGACAACTTCCTAGAGAAATTGATATCTAAATTGAGGTATGAAGGATTAGTAAGGGAGAGTGGACAGGGGAGGAGAAGATTCAGAAAAAAGGAACACTATGTCTAAAGGCTTAGAAGCTAGAGAGGGGAATAATTTATGATGTACATGTAATTTATTATAATAGAGTGTGTCTGGGAAGTGTGAGAACAGGCTGAAGTCTTTGGCAGGGCTCTGTTCAGAACTCTAAACCATATTAAGGTGTTTGAGCTTTACCCTTGATAATAACGCAATCTCACAACAAGTCCTTGAGGTATTAATCTCCCTATGTCATGCCTGGAGAATGTTCAGAGGGGCTAAGTACCTGGCCAAAGATTATATTGCTGGGGAGGTGTCAGAATTTGAACTCAGGCTGTTTGAGTAGCTTCAAATTTCTTCTAATGCAGTATTTTGAGTTAGACAATCTGAAAATATACTACAAACACCTAGAAATGTTAAAAGTATTTATAAATGCTTGATAAGGTAGAGTAAACATCCTTTCAAATCCAGAGCTGAACGGAACTCTCAAGGAAGTAAGAGGAATTACCAGGGCCAGTAACAGAAGATGACACCCGGTGGCTACCCTTGGTGAAGGGAGATGGGAACAGTCAATCGTGGTAACAAAAGTGATTATAATGTCCAGGCAGGGCAGCGGACAAAGTCCTAGGCCTGTGCAGAGTGGGGAGTTAGAGCTGAGAATGCCATAGTAAATCCAAATTGTTGTTTCATATATATATATATTTATTGATGAGGAAGGGAGGATAGCGAGAAACATCAATGATGAGAGAGAATCACTGATCAGCTGCCTCCTACACACCCCCTACTGGGGACCGAGCCCACAACCCAGGCATGTGCCCTTGGACGGAGGCTGACGTTCTATCCACTGTGCCAAACCGGCTAGGGCTCCACATTGTTTTTCAACCCGCAGACCCATGAGAAAAAGGTTAATCCCAGGCTTGGACTGATGTAGGCCAGCCTCAGAATGACCTTGGTTTCACACTGCACAGTTTCCTTGGGAACGGGTGAGTTAACAGAAATGATAAGTGAGGAAATGGTAAGTGATCATTTCTGTTGTGTGTGCTTCCTTTGTTGGGTGGGACTGCATCTAGTTTAGGGTGACTAACAAAGTATAAAGGATTGATGGGAAAAGGGGCTGTGGCTTTTATGAATCTAAGTGACCTACAGATGCCAAAGGCTCTCATGGGTCACAGTCATACCCACTCTCACCGGAGAAGGGGCAACAGAGGCTGTGTACTTAGGCAGCTGCTGTGGCCTCCCGATGAGATGAAGATACTTTAGTAGATGAAAGCCTTTGTTTTGTCTGTGAGTCTGCTGATCAGTAAATGCGGCTGTGCTGCTGCAGAAGTAGATGGGAAAAGGCCAGGCAGGTGTGGGGTTTGAATTGACCCTACCTGCATGGTCTAAGACAGTGATGGCGAACCTATGACATGCGTGTCAGAGGTGACACGCAAACTCATTTTTTTGGTTGATTTTTCTTTGTTAAATGGCATTTAAATATATAAAATAAATATCAAAAATATAAGTCTTTGTTTTACTATGGTTGCAAATATTAAAAAATTTCTATATGTGACACGGCACCAGAGTTAAGTTAGGGTTTTTCAAAATGCTGACACGCCTAGCTCAAAAGGTTCGCCATCACTGGTCTAAGAACTCACATGCTGAGACATTAACTCGAAATTAACTCCCAGTCTGTGATCCTCCTAAAACACCTGGCAGAACAACCGCAAAACCAGTCTGAGGGACACACCCTTCATCCCAGCTGCCAGGATTCAAGAGACAAAACATCGAGGAGGAAACAAGATGGCAGCATAGGTAAATGCCTGCACTTGCTGCCTCCCACAACCACGTCAAAATTACAACTAAAATACAGAACAACTGTTATCCAGAACCACGGGAAAGCTGGCTGAGTGGAAGTACTACAACTAGAGAGATAAAGAAGAAAGCACATTGAGACTGGCAGGAGATGCGGAAGTGCAGAGGGGTGTGCCACTTTTTTAATCGGGAGGGAGATCGCCTCTGCGGAGACTGCCCAGAGGAGCGAGGGGTCTCAGCCTCACATCAGACCCCAGCCCAGGGTTCCAGAGCTAGGAAAAGAAGTCCAAACCAGTGTGGATTGGGACTGAGTGACACAGAGGCTGCTGGAGACCCAGCTGCTCCTCTTAAAAGGCTGGCACTGTGAACTGAATTTACAAGCTCCCACTTCCTCTGAGCTCCAGTGCTGGGCGAGGCTCTGGGGGACCCAGACATATATGGGGAGAAACTGGACTGTCTGGCATCGGGGCAGGAATTTGGGGGTGACTTTCTTCCAGACGGAGGTGCTCACAGCGGTCACTGGTCCCCTGCTGGGACCTCCCTGGTACAGGGCTGACTAGCAGCCATTTCTGTTTGCTCCGCCCTGGAAATTCCCTGAGGCCCCACCCCACCCAATTTACAACCCCATCTAGACTGTGTGCAGTGGCTTTTGCATATGAATGGCCTAAAACCTGTCAAACTAGCTGCAGTTCGGTCAGGGAGCCCCAAAGCTATCAATAAGAGGCCCAAGGCCTGCACCAGCCTGCCTTGCTTCACAGCTGGGCCTTGCATGGACACTTCTAAACCCGATACAAAGAAGAGGAATCTGTAACTCTCTCTGTAGCTCCTGCTGGGTGGTCCTAGGCAGTGGCTGACTTTGCACCTCCCTGGAGACCCAAGAGCCAGTGTACCCAGTGGTCAGTGTGAGATCATACCAGATTACAACTCTTCACATCCATAAATGATACACTCAAGGGGCAGACTCAGTGAGCACCAAAGCCCCACTGAAGCAAGTCCTGCTCCATAAGGTTGTCTCTTGCACAGCAGTTCTCCCACTGTAGTTGCTGCTGGTCCCCACAGCCAATTGGCCTGGAGGTCAATTCCTCCCAGTGACACCAACAGCAATCAAGGCTCAACTACAAGAAGACTGTGCACACAGGCCACAAAGGGGTGCACCAAGAATGTCCACCTCAGGTGATTGGGGAGGCTGAACCACTGGGCCCTATAGGATACCTATTACACAAGGCCACTCTATCAACTCAAGGAGACTTAGCAGTTACCCAATACATAGAAACAAACACAGGGAAGAAGCCAAAATGCAGAGACAAAAAAACATGTCACAAATAAAAGAAATGGCAGAAAGCAAACTACTGGATATAGAGTTCAAAACCACAGTTATAAGGTTACTCAAGAATCTTCTAGAAACCTCTGAGGAACTTAGTGAGACCTTCAAGGATCTTAGTGAGAATGCCAAAAAATGGAAAAGGACCAGTCAGAAATTAGGCATACACTGACTGAAATAAAGAATAATATACAGGGATTCAACAGTAGACTAGAGGATCCCAAGAATCAAGTCAACGATTTGAAATATGAGGAAGCAAAAAACATCCAACCAGAAGAGCAAAAAGAAAAAAGAATCCAAAAATATGAAGATAGTGTAAGGAGCCTCTGGGACAACTTCAAGCATACCAACATCTGAATTATGGGGGTGCCAGATGAAGAGAAAGAGCAAGATACTGAAAGCCTATTTGAAGAAATGATGACAGAAAACCTCCCCTACCTGGTGAAAGAAATAGACTTACAAGTCCAGGAAGCACAAAGAACCCCAAACAGGAGGAATCCAAAAAGGACCACACCAAGCACACCATAATTAAGCTATCAATAAAAGGCCCAAGGCCCACACCAGCACCAGCCTGCCTTGCTTCACAGCTGGACCTTGCATGGACACTTCTAAACCCGATACAAAGAAGAGGAATCTGCAGATATCTCTGTAGCTCCTGCTGGGTGGTCCAAGGGCAAAAGACAAAGAGAGAATCTTAAAAGCAGCAAGAGAAAAACAGTTAGTTATGTACAAGGGAGTGCCCATACAACTGTCAGCTGATTTCTCAACAGAAACTATGCAGGCCAGAAGGGAGTGGCAAGAAATATTCAAAGTGATGAATAGCAAGAACCTACAACCAAGATTACTCTATCCAGCAAAGCTATCATTTAGAATTGAAGGTCAGATAAAGAGCTTCACAGACAATAAAAAGCTAAAGGAGTTCATCACCACCAAACCAGTATTATATGAGAAGGGTATTCTTTAAGAAGAGGAAGAGGAAGATAAAGGTAAAAATAAAAATTATGAACAAAGTGACACCAAATACATATCTATCAACAAGTGAATCTAAAAATCAAATGAATAAAAATTTGATGAACAGAATAAACTCGTGAATGGAATAGAAACAGGGGCATGGAAATGTAACAGACAGACGATTCTCAGAGGGAAGAGGGGGTGGGCGGGTGCAGGAAGAGATTAGACAAAGATCTTATATGCATGTATGCATTACCTATGGACACAGACAATAGGGTGGCGAGGGCCTGGGGTGGGGTGGGAACTGGGTGGAGGGGAGCTATGGGGGGAAGAAAGAAGGACATCTGTAATAATCTCAACAATAAAGATAAAAAAAAAAAGAGACAAAACCTCAAGAGAAGCTCACAATCCCAAAGTATAAACATACAGGGAAACAATCAATCCATTATGCGTGAGAATCAGAAGATATACAAAACAGCAGGGCTACACCTCCAAAAACTCAGAATATCAGAAATATGCCTACTTAGTATGTTTAAAATAAATAAAGGAGGAACTGAAAACAAAAGATTAAAAAGGGACAGTGAGCAAAAATAAGACAAAAATGAACATAACTGTCACTGACATGAAAAACTAAGAAGTGGCATAAACATAAGATTAGACCCAGCTCAGGAAATAAAAGACTGAACTAGTAAATAGCGCTGAAGAAATTATCCAAAATTCATCATAGACAAAAAGATAAAATATGAAAGTGGGGTTAAGCAATAGAGCATAGCATGTGTCTAACATTCATCTAGTACAGTGGTCGTCAAACTGTGGCTCGCGAGTGTGGCTCTTCCTAAGCCTTAGGCAGTGGTCAGCAAACTCATTAGTCAACAGAGCCAAATATCAACAGTAAAACGACTGAAATTTCTTTTGAGAGCCAAATTTTTTAAACTTAAACTATATAGGTAGGTACACTGTTATTAACTTAATTAGGGTACTCCTATGGCTTAGGAAGAGCCACACTCAAGGGGCCAAAGAGCCGAATGTGGCTCGTGAGCCACAGTTTGATGACCATGGGTAGGAGTACCCTAATTAAGTTAATAACAATGTATCTACTTATATAGTTTAAGTTTAAAAAATTTGGCTCTCAAAAGAAATTTCAATCGTTGGGACTGTTGATATTTGGCCCTGTTGACTAATGAGTTTACTGACCACTGATCTAGTACAGTGGTTCTCAACTTGGCTGCACATTAGAATCACCTGGGAATCTTTTTAAAATTCTGATTTCTGGGCCTCCCCCTCCGGAAATTCTGTTTCTTTGTTATGGGGTGGGGCCACAACATTAGTAACAAAGAAACAGAATTTCCGGCAGATGAGGCCCAGAAATCAGGATTTTAAAAAGATTCCCAGGTGATTCTAATGTGCAGCCAAGGTTGAGAACCACTGATCTAGTATGAATTGCTGGAGAAGGCAAGACCGACAAGGTAAAGAATGTTTGAAGATATTATGTATGTAGAATTTTTCCAGAGTTAATGGAAAACAAAAAGCACAAATTCAATCAGAGCAAACAGAACTAAATCTATACAAATGGGACTTTAGATAACTCATATAAATGAAAAAATACAGCCCTAGCCGGTTTGGCTTAGTGGATAGAGTGTCGGCCTGTGGAATGAAGGGTCCCAAGTTCGATTCCAGTCAAGGGCACATGCTTGAGTTGCAGGCTTGATCCCCAGTGGAGGGCATGTAGGAGGCAACCAATCAATGATTCTCTCTCATCATTGATGTTTCTATCTCTGTCTCCCTCTCCCTTCCTCTCTGAAATCAGTAACAATATCTTTAAAAAGAAAAGAAAAAATACAGTATTTGGCTTTTTAACATGGCAAAAGACAGAGATAAAAATGCTCAGATGACTTAGGCACCTCTCTGACTTGACAAATATGGAGGGATGTATTATTCAGGGATGGTGGTGAGATAGCTACATTTCTTTATAATAGGAGAGGCAGGTAGTCCTTTACATACAGAGAAATTTAGTTAAATCATATGAAAATGAATTTCAGGTTTTGGTTACCTTATCCTATATAATAAAACCCTAATATGCAAATCGACTAAACGGTGGATCGACCAGTCGCTATGACACTCACTGACCACCAGGGAACAGACGCTCAATACAGGAGCTGCTCCTGGTTGCTCCTGCGTTGCTCATCTGCCTCCCGAGAGGGAGGCAACTGGCAGCGGCCATTGGGGGGTGGGGCACCAGTCAGCGGGCAATGCCAGGCCGCCAGCCAAGGTGGGTGCCAGTGGGGGCTCCCCGATTGCCCCGCCTGCCAGTCACCCCACAGATGACTCTGATTATCGGCCAGGCTTAGGGACCCGACCCTATATATTGGGAACAGTCTCTTAGATTTAGAAATTAAACCTAGCAAGGCTACTCTAACACTGAAAAAACAGGATGATGCAGCGATGACATGCATGGACTCTGGCTTGCACATCTTGTGGTCAGCCCTGATTCTGACAGATATAACTGTGTGACAAAGCCAATTATTTAACTTCTCTCTGCTTCAGTTTTTCCACCCATAAGATGGGGAAAATGGTACTACTGCCTCAGCAGGATCATGTTATGTACTACTTTTCATAACAGGGCAAAAAATGTAGCTGCCCATACAACAGCAAGATGCCTTTCACCTGTATGAAAAGTATGGTCACTGGTGCATGCAGCATCCCAGATTTCGAGAGGGATGTCCGACTGCCAGTTTAGGCCCGACATCCCCAGATTGCAAGAGAACACAGACTGGGCTGAAGGACCCCCCCTTCTATTCCCGCCCCCCCCATGCACGAATTTCATGCACCAGGCTTCTAGTATAAAATAATAAAGGACTTTATAGCATTTAAGATCTAGTATATGGTTTTACTTAGAAAACAATTAGGTTGAAAAGGAATAATATTCCATCTTTTTAAACTATTTTTAATAATTATAATGATAGTTTTTTTAAAGTTCTTATGGATTCGTCATTGTTGCAAAGTGCCTTATATGTACTATTTTATTTAATCAGTTAAATATATGATGTGATTAAGTGTTTTATATTATTATCAAATTAGATGGTATTTGTCCCATCTCACCTATTAGAGCATCAACTCCAGAGAACAGAGACCTGTCGCTTCCATTCCTTTTGTTATGGCAGCAGTGTGTAATAGAACAAGCAAGTGTTTTGAAATAAGATGATGTAGATGCCAGAGTCAAGCCCCAACTCTCCCACTTCCTCCTCCTCTAGTTGGATAGGTCACTAAACCTGTCTCAGGCTCTCTAGTAATTTCATAAAGAGGAAATGATGTCTATCTGACTTCCAAATCTGTGTGATTTTTTCTTTTCTTTTTAAAAAATATATTTCTTTATTGATTTCAGAGAGGAAGGGAGAGGGAGAAAGATAGAAGCATCAATGATGAGAGAGAATCACTGATCAGCTGCCTCCCTCACACCCCCTACTAGGGGTTGAGCCCACAACCCGGCCATGTGCCCTTGGCCCTAATCGAACCCAGGATCCTTCAGTCTGCAGGCCGAATTGACTAGGGCCAAATCTGTGTGATTTTTTATTTTGCTTCTCTGATTCTGATGGCACTCGCTAAGAGTTTTATGGTTCCAATTTAGGCACATGCAATACAGGCCCACATTCAAACCTAAAATTACTACATGGAGGGTATGAACTGCCGCTCATGTTGAATGGTGGAGGCCACCTGACCTGGCTTTGTGAGGGACATTTACCTCCTAATAGTTTATTTTTTAAAGTAGTGGTTAGAATTAGCTCCCAAGTAATGGCATTTCCTCACTTATCATACACTATCAGAGTTTGCCCCCCAGCAAAGTAAGTTCATTTATTTAAGTTAACTTGTCACCACTTGTCAGCAGACTTTCAGCTTCTACCTGACCACAGAAGAATGTGACTTCATATTTATAGCTCTCATAAGATTTAAAGCAAAAAGCTCAACTGGCTGCACTTGTGGTTTTAGCTTAAACTCCTTCTTCTCCTTCTCTCCTTCCCCCCAAAATTTATGACAAACCAAGTAGCATAAATTAAAGAGAAACCTTTTCAGGTCACATTCTTCTTCTCTTTTGCAGAATCATATCAATATAATAATAATAATAGTAATAATAACAATAATGTGTTTCCTATAAATGACCCAAGTAAAATATTCAGGATTCTAATGACTATATCTCAACCAGATAAAATAGTAAAAGTATCACAATATCAAATTCACCTACTTGACATTTTTGACGCAGTTGTCGTAGCTCTTTTATAACTGGGGCTAGAGCTGACTTCTTTTCAGATACCAGTGAATTCAGTTTTCTTACCTGTCATTTAAAAAAAATACATGACATCTAAAAAAAGAATTCAAAAGAACAAAAATACTACATGCATAAAGTGTTATATATGAGTAAAAAAACTATAAAGTACTTCAATGCCAAACAATAGGAAAGTGATTTAGTAAATCTTGATTCCTCGGTAAGATGGAATAGCACTGAACTATTCAAAATGTCAATTATTAACACTGCAAACCAATATGGCAAAATATTTATAATCTAACAAGTAATGACTAAAATAAACTACAAGTTGCCTATCTACAACTACAATCATGTTGTTATGTAAAACAATATGTAATTACGTAGGTTATATAAAATATACATAAACATAAATGAAGTGATATTCAAGATACTTAATAACCCAAATGGCATAAGTAATAATCAATCACAATGGACACCAGCTATAGAGATGAAGGCAGTCTTGCAGGCCTCTACAGGTGCTCAATGTTAATCTTTTTTTGTTGTTAATCCTCACTCGAGGATATTTTTTTTAATTGATTTTTAGAGAGTGGAAGGGAGAAAAAGAGACAGAGAAAGAAACATCGATATGAGAGAGACACATCAATTGGTTGCCTCTTACATGTACCTTGACCGGGGCCAGGGATTAGGCCTGCAACTGAGGTATGTGCCCTTTTACCAGAATCAAACTTGGGACCCTTCAGTCCACAGAGTCAGATTGTGGTGAGATGCTGGGGTTCTGGGCGAGCAGCCAATGTGGATAAGACAGGCTGAGAGTTTGGGGCAGCAGCTATTCACCAATAAGTAAGGAAAGAGTTAAACGTTCTAATGCCTCACGAGGCTGTATCAGTACGTTCTGGCTAAACGACAGCTCTAAATATGGAAAGATACTAAGGACACACCCAAAAATGAAATAATTTTATTAGTTAGGGTGGTATGTTGGGAAAACTTTTTTTAAAATCTTAACTATTTCCTTAATGTTGTATAACTTTCACACACTTCAGAAACCACAAAACACATGAACTGTTGTAAGTTGAAGAACCTTACTAGAATGCAAAAATTCAAGAGACTGATACAGATAAAAATATAAACAATATGCAGAAAGGAAAATCTGAAGTTTCACTAAAAACTGGACAAACAAAAATATCTGCCTTCTATACCCAGTAAAAAACCACTAAAAATGTGTAATCACCATTTCAGACATGTCATCCAGGGTCCGTCCTTTCATTTCGTCAACCTCACTCTTCAGTGCAGACACTCTCTCCAGCTCTTCCTGGGTGTAACTATATCCAGATATACCCTTTTTCTCCTCAATGGTTTGCTAAAAGTAAAGAATAAATAGAGGTCAACCTATGAACCAGGAGGTTCAATATGCCAGTGTTGGGGGCTCAATCCCCAATTGTGCAGGAGGCAGCCATCAATCATTCTCCCTCATTATTGATGTTTCTATCTCTCTCTCCCTCTCCCTTTCTTTCTGAAATCAATAAAGATATATTTTTTAAAAATGGGGCCACAAATTTGGTGTCAAAACCTCAATGACTCCATAAGAAGTATACGTATTTAATCTATAATATTAGAGTTGTAAATGAAATAAATTAGCTTAGCCGTAGCCGGTTTGGCTCAGTGGATGGAGCGTCGGCCTGCGGACTCGGGTTCGATTCCGGTCAAGGGAATGTGCCTTGGTTGCGGGCACATCCCCGGTGGGGGGTGTGCAGGATGTTTCTAACTCTCTATCCCTCTCCCTTCCTCTCTGTAAAAAAATCAATAAAATATATCTAAAAAAAAAAAGAAAAAAAAAAGAAATAAATTAGCTTAGAATCCTAAAGGACAATCTTTATTGACTTCAACAATAATAGCATCTCTTTATATGTTATAAACTCACACTAAATTTTACTATCTTCAGGTACATAGAAATCAATTCTAATTTTAGACTTTAAAATAGTGCTATGTACTCTGCATAGAATATAAAACAGGACATATTCAATAAATATTTGGTGAATGAGTGAATTCTCAAGTGATCCAATTGTATTTACTTTTGCTTACTCATCCAATATTTGTTATATGCCCAAATGTGCCAAGCACAGTTCTCGGCAGTCAACAAAACGGGGAAAAATCCCCTCGCTCACAGAGCTTACTTTTCTAGTGAGAGTAAACAAGTAACATGTAAACAAGTAAAACACAGTGTGAGGTGAGAGTGGGGTTGAAATCTTAAGTAAAAGGTGGTTATAGGTCTTCCTGAGATGACATCTGAGAACGCCCTGAAGGAAGTGGGGGAGCAAGCCATGTAGACACCTGGGAGACCAGCAAGTGCACAAGACATGAGGCAGGAACATGCCTGGCTTGTTCACAAAATAGCTGGGAGACTGGTGCAGCTGAAAATAGAGTGAGAATCCAGTGGGGTGGGGAGGGATCATAGAGGACTCAGCTGGTTTGCTGGGACAGTCTCAGTCTATGTCTGTTGTCCTTTGCATTCTCAAAAGTGTCCTAGTTTAGATGATAAATTATATTATTACCTTATTTTTAGGCCAAGGAAAGAACTTGGACTTATTTTAAATGACATGAGAGGCTTGTTGGAGGGTTCAGATAAAGTAATTAAAAAAAATTAATCTTAGAGAGAGGAAGGAAGGGAGAGAGCGAGCGAGAGAAACATCAATCAGTTGTTTTCCATACTCACCCTGACCAGGAATTGAACCCGCCACCTTCTAGTGTCAGCCAGCCTCTGTCAATGACCACCCAGTGCTTGGATAATGGCCTCATGAACAGAATGGCTATGTTGGCAAAGATGGAGACTACACATGGGCAAAATAGCATGGGCTCTCTCTGACTAATGCCCATCTAGCCATTGCCACACATCTGACCTGGCAGCAACAGAGATCAATTGGTCTCCTCAAGGGTATGGAATCATCCCTTGAGGAAACCAATCATCTACTTAGTGGCAATATGATAACATCAGATCCTTCCTGCTCTGAAAAGACATTTCATCCTGACTGGCACTACCCATATTCTGGGTAAGGTTTTGCTTTCTTGCCAACAATGTTCCAGCCCACACCACTATCCAAGGGCTCAGAGTATCTGGTCTACTGATGTAGATTCCCACATATATCACCTCAAACCAAGAGACCTACTTTATGGTAAAGGAGGTGTGGTGGTGGGCACATGACCTTGGGATTCAGTCACTGTACCACACACCACCCCATCCAGAGAGCAAATGACCTGACAGAACAGAGGAAGGACCTCGTGAAGGGACAGCTAAGTGGCCAGATTGGAACTGGTGGCCTGTGAGGATGAGTTCTAGTCTTCAGGAGCTGTGTTCCAAACAGACTGAATACATGGGTCTCGAAAGTATGAGGGTTATCACTCACTGGGTTTCCCACTTATCCACTTAAGGAATTAACTTTCCTTCTCTGGTTTCCAGAGCTGGGCGTGCTTCTACTGGAAGGCACATGAAGGGACCCTCTACACTTAATGCTCTGGCTACCATGTTGTCACTTGGGCTCCTCATGCCGGTGGACCAACAGGCAAAGAAAAGGGTTATTATATTGTAGGACATCATAAGGCTATTAATTACCCCAAAGTCAGCAAGCATAAGAGTGCTTCCTGGGGGGAGGGGTAAAAAAAAAAGACTGCTTCCTGCTACATTAAACATAAATGAATCAGCTTATATAACATCTCTGTAATTAATCAGAAAAAAACAATAATTGTATGATTTTTCTATTAAAAACCCCAGAGCTATAACCCATAAACCTCCTGACATTTGTAATTTTAGCACCCCAAGATAATACTGTATTACCAGTTGATGCTGAATATTTTCAAGACGTTGTTTAAGGAGTTCTTCCGTCCTCTGCAAGAGACCGAACTCAGCTTTAAATTCAGCTATTATCTGATGCTTCTTTTTGAAAACAGTACTCTTGCTTCTAAGTTTACTGACATATCGCTTGAACTGTAAGAGAATACAATATTAGTTTAATGAGTAGAAAAGTAGTTGCTAAATATTACATATTCTCTCAATGTTTAAGAAACATTTTATTTTCTACTGTCTAACACATGTCCCAAGTATATAATAATAACTTAGTTTTATTAGAAAACTGAAGAAGACTAACTGCCTGATTCAACATACTTTGTGTATGTTTTAATTTTTTGGATCCATCTAAATGGTGTAAATCCTTATGTAAAACTCTATTACTGTCAGTATTTTTCCTTTTAAGTTATACAGCTAAATCTAAGGTCAGTAATTCTAAATTTGTAAGGTAGTAAAATAAGAAGTATAACATTTCTCATATTTAGGTACTTTGTTTCCCCTTAAAGACTTGATTCGTTCCTGTGTATTTAAAAAATGCCCTTAAAAATAGTAAGATTAAAAATTCTTCACATAAAAATAACTTTTAATCCCTAGTTTAGACATCGTTCTAAAGTTGATTTAAACTTTAAAAGAAATACAGAACACATTGTGTTTTAGAGGAAGGAAGTTCAAAATAATTTTCTATCCATGATTAAGTTGGTTTTAATATTAAGAAATTCAGCCCACACAGCAAATTATCAATGGCTGGATTATAGTAATGGTTTTAAAATTTTAAGTCATACCAATATACCTAGAGTCTATTAACTTGCAATTTTTCCTTTTAAAGAATAAATGTGTAAGCCTGACATAACCACAGACTCAGAATCCCTAGAGTAACTATAATATGTTCTATTAAAAGTGTCCTGGGCAAAGTGCCCAAAATGAAATCAACCCTATTCATCTGCTATCCTCTGTATTATCTAGGCCAATTTTCCCTTCTCTATCTTGCTGTGCTCCAGAACTATTTTTAAAAGCTATAAATGTTTTTGGTGAAAGAACAAACCCACCAATTACTCAATGTGCTCTCTGCTGATTGGTTGTTACTTGACGTTCATTGGACAAACTACTTAAGGGAAGGGAGTTGGGGTCAGATTAATCATGGTTCCATTCAATTAAACAACAGGTGGCCATCAAAGCACTCTGAGGGCTCTACTACCCCAAGGAACTAGGGGAAAGAAACGCATTATCAATGTTTCTTCCATTGCAAGTTTATTCTGTTAAAAAAGAGAAAACAGCCCAGCCGGTGTGGTTCAGTGGTTGACCTATGAACCAGGAGCTCAAGGTTTGATTCCCGGTCAGGGCACACGTCCGGGTTGTGGGCTTGATCCCCAGTAGAGGACGTGCAGAAGGCAGCCGATCAATGATTCTCTTTCGCTACTGATGTTTCTACCTCTCTCTCCCTCTCCCTTCCTCTCTGAAATCAATTAAAAAAATTTTTTTTAAAAAGAGAGAGAGAAAACACAAGTCACTGTCACCAAACCAAGACTTAATACCTAAATTAATTACAGTTGCGGCCTCTCCCAGGAATGGAATCTTAAACCAGTCCACCAGGAATTACCTGGTCACCACTAATAAGGTAGTCTGCCTGACAGACCCCTGCTGTCCCCTAAAGGAAGGTGACCGTGCCACAACCAATCCCCTTTTTGCCTGGCCAGCTCCCTTCTGTCTATAGAAGTCTTCCATTTTGTACAGCTCCTTAGAGCTCCTCTCTGACTAAATGGGATGCTGCCTGATTCATTCAGAGATGAATAAAGCCAGTAAGATTTTTAAAATGTACTCAGTTCAATTTTGTCTTTTATTTATTTATTTTTTTTCCGATGCAAAAGCATAAGAGTCTTTATTCGAGCTAGCTCAGCTCCCCCACCTTGCCGACGCAGCGACAGGAAGCAGAGAGAGAGCAAACTCTGTATGGAGACAGGTTTTATAGGGGGTTGGAGTAAGGGGAGGAGAAAGGACTGTGCTCTGCCGATTGGCCAGGCGCAAGTCGGTGTCTTGTTCCTGGGTGTGGCTAGCAGAGTCTTAGACTTCCGGGAAGAAGCTCCTTGCCAAGCACGTGGCCAAGGTAAGATGGAGGGCATAGCCCTTACCCTGGGGCAAGATGGAGGGCCTAGCCCTCGCCCTTTCATTCCCCCCTTTGTCTTGGAACTTCCGGCTCAATCATGAGACGGACTGCATTTCTATTCCACCGTTGCTAGAGGCCCGTACTGGGCATATCTTAACAAATGGTCTGGTGGAAGGGAAAGAAACCATTTTAGCTTTAACAACTTCTATTGAAATAGAATTTTTCTTCTTAAAATTCCTCCATGGCTATTAAAAAGCCAAATCAAGATTAATTTATCTACTGTCCTGATGTTTGCATAAATACAACAAGAATGGTAACTGACTACCTTTGCTGGAATCTCATGGTTGAATCTTAATGTGCCCCGTAGGGCCAGGAAGCCACGCCACCCAGCTGCCATCAGGCCCGCCTGCAGTATCTGCTGAGTTAGGTGAATCCCTCACCTGTAGAGCCCTCGCTCTAGGCTTTAAGGCCCATCTCAGTAGCCCTCCTACTTGTTGCGGCCCCGAGTGTGTGGGGGTTCCGCAGGGATGCAGAGGCATCTTTACTGCTCCCCTTCTACTCTGACCAACCGCCAGTGATGGTAGGGCATCGGCCTGACGCTCCAGCGCCAGCCATCTTCAGGGCTTCCAAGCAGGATACCAGGCTTTCTTCGTGGCATTCTTACTGGCTTCAAGTCTTTAGAGCTCAGACAGGGCTCTTTAAAACATGATACTCCAGTCAAAGTTTTCCGTTAATAAAACCACTATTAGGAACCGGTCTTATCGAATCTATGCAAAGAAATGTATTGCTATGACTTATTTAGCATTGCCAAATTTCGGAGGAATTACATAAGGAGAAAAACATATTGATCTACTTTAAGATTTTCTGATTTTCCTTGCCAATTCCTTTTAACAAAACAGTAATTGTTGGCATTAAACTTTCTTTCTATGCATAACCATGCCTCAGACCTTCTATTCTAAACAGGCCTTTTCCAGCTTACTACCCCTGACATGGGCATGGTCACCAAGGCCTGCAAGCAGTACACAGGCTGCCAACTGTATTTCAACAGAGACCAAAACCTGATGGGCACCCTTTCCTGCCCATTTGGGCACCTGCCCTCTTGGCAGCTAGCCATTTTTTACTTTTAGGGGTCACCCCACATAGTTCCCTTCCAGGACAGCTAACATACATTCAAACCGCGGCCAGTCAGACTCTACGGATTGAGGGTCCCTACATGGTCTTGGGAATCCCGGACGAGCCCCCAAATGTTATGCCCAGATTTCAGGATCCCCAAGAAACCACATCAGGGAGCCAGCCAGTCCGATGCAAAAGCATAAGAGTCTTTATTTGAGCTAGCTCAGCTCCCCCACCTTGCCGACGCAGCGACAGGAAGCAGAGAGCTCAATTTTGTTTTTTAGTACTTCTATCATTTGGATTTCAGATTATTTCTGAATTCTCAAATTATAAAAATAAAATGATGATGAACATATTGAATATAAATCTTTAGACACATTTAAAATATTTTTTTTATTGATTTCAGAAAGGAAAGGAGAGTAAGAAAGAGAGAAACAATGATGAGAGAGAATCATTGACTGGCTGCCTCCTGCACACCTTCCTCTGGGGATAGAGCCTGAAACATGGGCATTTGCCCTGACCAGGAATTGAACCATGACCTCCTGTTCATAGGTCAATACTCAACCACTGAGCCATGCCAGCCGGGATAGACAAATTCTTAATAATTTCTACAGGATATTTCCAGAAATGGTCAAAAGGAAATAGGGTTTTGACACATTCTGCCCCTCAAAGTCTATTTATGGTACTTTTTATAATTGTCAATTTTATATGTAAAAGATAATCTTACTTTTAATTTCCATTTCTTTATTAGGGGATTTCACTTTTTTCTCATGTTCATTGTACATCTATAGGGATTTACAATGACTCCTTGGGATATTTAGGAAAAGGCTTTCTATAGTGCACTATAGCAGTAACAGGTCAATCAGACAAATTTGTCATTTAACTGAACTATAAAGCTTGTCACTGAGCAGGAAGGCCCATTATAGCAGCTATTACTAATCATTTGGACCAATATACATTTGTAATCTAAATTTGTCATTTAAGAAAGAGCAGCCATCATTTTAGATGCTGAAATCAATAAGATTAACGCCTTATAGTGCTAGCTTCTGGCTTTGGGACCAATTTTACCCGACTCAGCTCCTTTGTGATCAAAACGAAATTTGACAGATGTTCTTCCTCCTCTTATCCATTTAATATACTTTAGAACCTTTCATAGTAATGATCAAAATCTGGGCTAGCTTTTTAAATGGGCAAGGCAGCCTATTTCCCTAAGTATGTAACCATTTAGATGCCTTTAAAACTTATCTGGAGCGCAAAAGTATTATTGGATCCAGACATCATTCTGGATATTTATATAGAAACAGGAATCTCTATTCCTGCTGCAAACTTTCCACCTCAATATCTTACAGGACAACTACTTCCACAGTAATTAGCTGCGAGGACTTTACAAGACAACCATATAATAACTACTTTATATGGTCAAGAACCCGAGGCCCAAGAAAGTTAGGTGTGTAATGAAATAACGGCAACTGCCCTAACCGGTTTGGCTCAGTGGATAGAGCGTCGGCCTGCGGACTCAAGGGTCCCCGGTTGATTCCGGTCAAGGGCATGTACCTTGGTTGCGGGCACATCCCCAGTAGGGGGTGTGTAGGAGGCAGCTGATTGATGATTCTCTCTCATCGATGTTTCTAACTCTCTATCCCTCTCCCTTCCTCTGTAAAAAATCAATAAAATATATTTTTTAAAAAAAGAAATAATGGCAACTGTTCAAGAATAGCATGATTATACCCAACGGCCACAATTTTTTTGCCCATTTGTCAGTGTCTTGTATTCTGTCTAAATTCAGACTTGCAGAAAACCTGCAAAGACTATCTTTTCATGTCAACTTCATGTCATAAATCATTTGGATTTCCTAAAGTCTGGTCTCAGAGCTGCTACTTGCTTTAAGGCAAAAAAATGTTTCACAGCAACCTTTGTTTTCTGCTAA